CATTACACTTACTGGATTTGTTCAGTGATTAGGTATGATCACCCTAATACAGCTGCATTACAAGTGCTCTACTGCTAGTAGAGCTGCACAGCAAAATTAAAAGCATTCATAGCATGATGTTCTGTGAATTATGTCCACATCCCACTGTGCTATCTATTAGAGAGCAGTTACTGTGAAGAGGTGTACTGAAGAATTGCCTCCTTGCTTGTTGTCCGTCTCCTCCTAGCAATTTGGTGAGCCAGTGGCTGCTTAATAAAAGTAACATTGTGGAGTGTCTTGTCTCAAGAGAGCAATTACGCTACACCTAGCAGAATGTCTTACTCTCCATATTATCTAGAACTGAGCTTCTCTCCACTTTGGTAGCTGCACATTTTGCTACCATCTCTCTGCCTTGCTATGCAGTAGAGAAATAACATCTTCCTGACTAGCACTATCCCTTTCTTCTCTTTGTACACACTGCATGCTTAATCTCTCTTCCCTTTTGGCATTGCCATCCCATAATTGATGGTTTTTCTTCTGTTTGGTCTCACTTTGGACATTTCCAGAATAACAGCACATAGTCATCTCTGGTAGCATGCACACAGCACAGCCCAGACAGATGCATTCCCTTCTCCCAGCCATGTTGTTTATTGCCAGCCTCACTGCAGGGCTGACACCATTTTCTTTTCCCATTGGTATGCTCTTTATGGGCTTCTGAAAGCCTTGTGGAAAGAGGCACACAGTGATTATACATCACCCATGGATACTTTGGAGCTCGCTTTTAGCTCCATTTGGCTGTCATTAATTCTGTAATTCTCCAAAACCATTAAGTTCATTGCAGTCTCAATTTCCTGTCTATATTTACAGCATGGAAGCAAAAACCTGAAGTTAGGAAGCTCTTATAATGGGCACTGCTTAATACCAGGTGATCTGCACAGAGAGGTGCTACCTCACAGAGGGACACTCTGCAAGTAATAGTAACCTGCTGGTTTCAAAGGGATTCTCTTTTGCTTGCGTTAGAGCTGGTGCAGTCTAGCCCATAATGAGCACATAACTTAAATCATATTTTTAGGTTTAATGGAATTACTCCTAATTTACATTGCTTTAATTGCTCCAAATCAGTAAGCACCCTTTTCCTACAGCACAGCAATACAGCTGCAGCAGAAATAGATTAAATGTAAGAGTATCTGCCTTATATTAGAAGCCACCCTTGATTTAATTCATCTCAGGCATTCAACTAGATGGAATAATTAGCTACAGTTTAACCATGTTGTATCTGAAAGTGATGTCTGAGTCCGATAGACCAAAAATTATCATTAGACTTTTTTTTTTTAAATCTGTTAAAAAAAAATCTAGAAAAAAGCATTTTCTTTCACATGCTTTTGAGGAATAAATTGCAAAGACATTATTAATGGAATTTTATATATATACATTTCTGCCTGGCACAGAGGTTATATTGCCTTCTGAAATGAAATATTTGTACAGCTGCTGTAATAACCTCGTCTCTAGAGTGACAAAAGGAAGCAAATCCATAACTCAAAGCTTAGCTTAGTGCAAGGTATGAAAATAAAATGTGGCTCATACCCTAAAAGGATATATCTTTAATACTCCATTTATTGGCTGTATTTTATGAAGGTGAATATTTGATACTCTTTACAAGCATTTCTGAATTGTTACATGCAGTGTGTGTCTTAGAAGGACTTTCATAGCCTGTCAAGTAGTGCTGACTCTTCCTTTAATGAGACATCATTGTGCAGTCCTGTTTGAATTGAGGCCAGAGGAGAGATTTCTGTGCCTAATGTATTTTCTCTTTGTGGTCATTCCTTAGCAAACAGAATTCACACTAGAATAAGGAATATATACCTGTATTGCAAACATTAGTATTTATTAGGAACCTCCCATAATTAAAGAAGCTAAAAGCAGAGAAGAAAGGGAATAGATAGTAAGGATCTTAATCTACAAATTCAGGCCAGCCTTGACATAGTCCAAACCAGGAGACGGCAGCAGACTGAAGTTTCATTTTCTTTTCTCTTGGTTTCTGCAAGGTCATTACCTGTGGCTTTTTGGCAGTGCTGTATTATTCCATTCTAGCACTATTTCTTCAGAACGTTTGAGAGAAGGCAGACTGTGATAACCCTGCCTACCTCTCTGCTCATGTACCTGTCCTTGCCACCCTCAGACCTAGTTGAGCCTGTTCACGAATAATTTCAGGGAAATTGGGAGTGAAATTACAGTTGAAAATATACTGTTCCTGTAAGTTTTGAAAGACTGCAGAATAAACTCATCCTTCAGAAGAGTTCAGTGAACATAATTCAGATTCATTTGCCCCAGCCACAAGAGAAGTTTTGGAGCTTAGATCTTACTGAATGTTAGTCAGCTGGAGGCACAGCTGTGTGGAAAATCGTACTCCTCTGTAGAGTCACATGTTTCTTACTACAACCAAATTGTCTCTTCAGTTTTAAGATGAAACTGATCTTTCTGTATATATTTTATTGGAATGTATCAGTCATGTTAAAGAAAGATAAATAATAAGGGAAGCTTGAATTCATCCCTCCTGAGATCTTCAGTCTTTAACTATGAAATGACCAGAGGAAGGAATATTTCGCCACATTGTAAGTTATGGTAAAAACTGCCACAGAGATTGGCAAGGTGCAGTTCATATGATAAAATACATTCTGTGGGAAGATAAACTGAAGTGAATAATACATTATTTGCCTTGGATGGGTATGTCTATAAATAAAAGTTAGTTTCTTCTTAACGTCACTCATGAACATTTCATTCCAGATACAAATGCAAGGCACAGAATGGACTACTTTTAATGAAGTGTCCAAAAAGCTACAGAGAAATATGGAGGCACAGCCAAGAAAGCAAGGGCAGTAAAGTATGTGAAGAGAATTGTGCTAGGGGACTTTCAGAGTATTTGTTGTTAATGTCTGCTGTCAGGGCTATTGGACATCCAGTGACTCGGGATACAGGATACAGGACTAAGGATACATAATGACTCAGCATGCAGGAGAAAAAAATTTCCAAAGTAGGGAAAATAATTTCCAAAACATCATTAAAATTGTTTCTAAGCACCCGACAGTAATGTTGCAAGAGCAAATGAAGATGACACAGGCAATGGAAACAGGGGATTTAAGAATGAAAATAACTGATCATGTGTCAGGAAGCACTAAGATATGCCAGAGTGAAGAAAGCTGGTTTCCTGCAGTTTAGCATCCAGATTAATAGAAATTTCAGCTGAAGCTTTCTTTATGGTTGGGACATTTATAAAGCCTCTGCTTTGTATTTACTAGTTTTTGGTGAAGAGGGAACTCTGGTGCAGCCTGCTGTGACCTGTCTCCTCTGATCAGCTGCTGATTTTCATAAAGCTTGTGGGAACTTCATAGCTTTGATGCCTTCAGATAGAGATGAAAATGACCATTTTGTCAAAAGAAATTGAGGGATGGGAAGTGAGGAAGAAAGGATCATCTACATGCATATATCCACACTCAGGCAGCATTCTCATGTGTTTCCTGAGGGAACCAGGCTAAAATATTTACCAAACAAGGGTAAATTATGCTTCTTTCTCTTCTTACCTCTTGACTGTCCTTCTGATGAGACTCACACTGTTAATCTAATATTTAGAGCACTGTTCTTATTTTAAAGTTGACCAGCAGGTGCAGAGGTGACTGATTTGTGAAAAGAAGGAAATGAGCCCTGGCCTTTAGCTGGCACAGCACAGATCAACAGTCAGTAGTACAACAGACCATATAATACACAAAAGCCAAGTTAAATCCTGTACAGTTAAAGGCCAGATCCATGACTGTACCTTATGTGGAGGACAGGATGGATGGTCCTCTTGCAAATTTCTAACATGAGGATTGGCAGTTGGTCCTGAGAAATAATAAAGAATGCTCAGAAGAGAGACAGCTGTGATGTGAAAGGGAGAATGGAGAGTCAAAGGCTCCTGGTCAGGCTGAAAAGGAGGAGCATGGCTTATCAACAGGTCCTGCGCTGAGGACAGTTCTGTGGCTCTACAGGGCATGTAGGGTTGACTGGGGGAGCCAGCCTTGTTTGGGGCATAAACCCTTCTGGTGCCATGGCAAGGGAGCTTGGAGATGAGAAGTAAAGGAGGGGCTATTCATGTAAGTTGTCATTGCTGTTAGCTCTGATCATTGTATCATAGGCTCTTGTCACACAATATAGCTGCAACCATGCATTCTCTTCCACTGCCTGTTCCATTTGGGACTCCAGCACCTCTGAAAGTCTCTGCCTCCAACTCTGCCCTGCCAAGTCAGGAGGGAAGACACCCGGGCAGTCCAGCTCTTGGCTTGACACAACGGACACATTTAAAAGTGGGAAGAACTGAGCAAAGATCAGGTTGTTAATTACACAGACTTCTATCTGACTGGATTTGTAATGTTACTCAGATAGCAAGTAACTGCAACAGCCTTACAGTATTACCCTTAATCAGAAAATATTTGTCCTGCAGCCCCATCGTGTATTTGAACTCAAAGTGCTGACAAAAAGAAAGGGGAGGCGGAGTCCTCCAAGAGAACTGCATTGCACTTACCTGTCCACTTAACATCTGGGTGTGGGAAATTTTGTCACCTTGTAAGTTTCACCAGTATTGCACTTCCTCAGGAGAAAACATTCATAATGTGCCAGAATGCACTTGTCTGTGATTCTGTCCCTATGTTCAACTAAAGCAGACAGTCAGAATTTGAATCATGCGGAGAATTGAAGTTTTACAAACCCCAGACTGAGCTGAGATACCACAGAGGCAGGCACCACCTGGCTAACGTGCATGGCAGGTACCTGTCGTTAATGAAAGGATGTCAGTAAGTAACTACACAGTTAGCATCCATGTGCAGTGTATGCACATCCACACACACACAGTGGGAGTAGGAATACAAAAATGCAGAGCAGACACACCACTTCTGCTTCATCGTCATAAAAGGCTCTTGCGGCTTTTCCCCTTGCTAAGCTTGTGATACACAGCCCTGGAGCAGCCCTCCTGGGCTTTACGGGAATGACATTTACAGCTGACATCAGATCTGAGTGTTTGCATTGGATTTCAGTGTCAGCCCTGGAGGTGTGGCTTAGCAGGGGCACTGTTTCAGTCCTCTGATCCAGCCGAGGCAGTTCCCTCCTAGAAGATACTCACTCCCCTTGGCTGTGCTATACTGCTTGCATCTGACTCCTCCCTCCTGCAGCTCAGAGCAGCACAGGGTGAATCCAGCAGCCTCTCATTTCTGTTGTTTCTCCCTGAGCTACTAAAGCTTGAACATACCTGATGTTCTGCCTTCATTTCAGCTGAACTCGTGAGTAAGGCACCTTGCTTGATACCTGTCAAAACTGAATGGCTCGTTATTGCCTGAAGAACCTGAATTAACCATCTTCCAGTACTTACAGGATTTTGAAGAATTGCTTTTTTTTTTTCTTCCTCAGCACCTTTGATACTTCATTGTTGCCTGATTTTTCAAGAGCATGAGTTGTTCTGGTTATCAAGGGTGCTTTCACCTGAATATTTATTCATCAGATGCCATGAAAGAGGGTCTAGGAAAAGAAAGAAACTTGTGAAACAAAGAAACTTGATACGTGGAGCTAACAGTCTTGATTTCAGCTGGCAAAAACTTGGAGAGTCGGTGAGAAGGCAGAGGAAAAGATTTGCCAAGGACAATGTCGGTAATACCCAGTAATTTGTCACTTAGTGGGATGAGCTCCTTCACTGAAAATCATAGCATTATGGATAAGCCTCACGAGCAGAGAACTTTGAATGTTTTTCTATTCTGCTTGACTTTTATCATTGCATTCACAGCACTTCTGGGCAGCATTTATTCACTAGTTTCCCTGCTGAAAATACAAACCAGAACCACAGTTTCAATGATTGTGACCTCTTTGTCAATAGATGATTTGATCAGCATTGTGCCAGTGATTATTTTCATGCTCACCCAGTGGTCAAGTGATGTCCTCCCCCAGCCTCTGTGCACCACCTCAGCTCTTATATATTTATTCCAGGGCATTTCTAGCAACCTGAAAGGATCTCTTATAGTTTCTTACAACTTTTACACCATCAGCAAAACTGAGACAATGAGCTGCAGCACTTCCAAGCAACGAGTGAACATGGTATGGGCCATTCTTACCATCTGGATTGTCAGTTTGCTCATCTGCATTTTGCCTCTTTGTGGCTGGGGCAAGTACATCCCTACCTCCTGGGGCTGCTTCACTGACTGTGCCAGTTCCTACATCTTGTTTTTATTTATTGTCTACTCACTGTGCTTTTGCCTTCTCACAGTGCTGTCTGTTCCTCTAACTTACCAGCTGTTGTGCTCCGATGAGCAGCAGCTATTATGTGGGGATTACCAGGAAGTCTCTGGAGGCTATATAACCCCTGGGACACCTGCAGGCTGCAGTACTGCTATTCCATCTCTGTCACCAGTGGACCCTGTGGATAAAACTCTGAGGCATTTCCAAAACACATGTCCAGTCTTGGAGGCAGTTTTTAGAAAAGGTGTGGCTGGAAGCAGTGCACTTGAGCACCACTGCATGAGCAACATACAGAGCAGAAGCTTCATGGTGGGCTTTGCCCAGAAACGATTCTCACTGATTCTTGCATTGACAAAAGTCATCCTCTGGCTTCCAATGATGGTAACTTGTCAGATTGCTTTTCTTTCTAGTGTTTGCTTACTTTTAAATGGGGTGTGATTTGGTGTGCCGTGTATTGAAACAGATGAACAGTAGCCATTGCAGTTGCTCATCATAGTCTGTGCCAGCAAAAGTCTTTTTAAGCAGGTCTTTGTCACTATGTGGATTTAACTGGCTTTCAGTGGGTTTGGCAGAGCCTGATTCGGCATTACGTTACCCTATCACTACATCATTTGTATCACCTGAATAAAGGGATGAATAAGATCCACCCTTTTGTACTGCCAGCTGTCTGACAAGTGTTTGTTCATCATTCTGGGATCTGTGAATTGTACTAAGGTACCTCTTCTGTCCCTCATCACAGCTGTGAGTCACATTCTTTGCCAGACTGGTTAAAAAAATAGGAGTTTGTTAGAAAATTGATGTTTGCTTGCATCTTTTGAATCTCTGTAGCATGGGGGGAGGAAAGGGGAAGTGCTGTCCATGTGCATGCACTGGTATATTTGGGAATAGGTACATTCATGTGTAACTGAAGTCTGTTTTGAACCCAGAAAATGGGGTTTACCCCTGTCCTTGGGATCTGTACAAATTCAGCATTCAAACTTCTGTCAAGAGAAAGAGAAGCATCATGGAGCATCTGCCGCACAGCGCTGTGTGGTGCTAAGTTATCTCTCCTGTTCCCCGTCAGAAGTTAGGGTTTCTCAGCAGCACACAGGAGAGACTGAGCTAGCAGTGTCTGATTGTGTGCTGCTTTTTTATAGCGCCAAGCATCAATATTTAACTTAAGCAAAGGTTTTTCTGAGAAATGCAGAATGAGGAGGAGAGCCTCTGTCGGTGTGTTTTCTCCACTCCTGGTTAGAAACCAAATTATTAGGCTCAACAAACACTAATGACAACTGATGTCTTTTAGTTGTGTCATATTCATAGTGTGATGTTCTGTTTATTCCTGGAAGTACCTAATGTGCCTGAAGCAATTTAGATTTCAAAATGCTTTGTCTTTCAGATACAAATGGTTGTCCAGCACATCACTGGTTTCCAGAGCCTTTCGTTTGAGACGCTTAGTTTCCTGCTGACTTTGCTGGCTGCCACAGTCACCCCAATATTCACCATGTCAGAACACTGGATCCACCTGCCCTGTGGCTGCATCATTAACTGCAGGAGGAATTCTTATGCAATGTCTTCAGAAGAATTCAGAAGTAAGTACAGAAGGTTGACATGCCGCTGGGATTTTTCTTGTTGTAATAAAGAGAATAAGAAGTTAGTGTTCATAGCAGGACTTTGTACTCCTTGAAATCATTTACCTGAATTATATAGATATTATTCATAACAGTGTATGAGACATTAATATGAGGCAGTTGGATGTAAATGGTAGATGCTGAGGCACAGGAGCTTGGCTGATTTTCCCATTTCACTGCCAGATCTTCTAGCAGAGTCTGATGGACTCTGAATCCTAGCTTTGCTCTCCTCACCTACATTGGGAAAGATGTCTCTACCAAATTCTGACTTCACTAATCAAATACATGGAACATGCTAAGCATGTTTAATGTGATGGGGTAAAAAAACATGCTTACTGCAAGCAGGTTATAAGGAGAGGAACTATTGCTTGTACTAACCAGAAGTCCCAGCAACATAAATAATCAAATGGCAAAGGACACGATTTATGACAGGGGCCTATGTATCAGCACGTTTATGCTGCTTATTGAAAGCTGAGGAGCTTCTATACTGTTTTTGCCAAAAAATATTTCTCCATGTTTGTCGTGGTTTAAGCCCAGCCACAAATCAGACCATGCAGTCTCTGTCTCACGTCTCCCCTTCCCCCGCCCCCAGCTCCCAGAGGGATGGGGAGGAGAAAAGAAAGAATGTAACTCTCATGGGTTGAGATAAGAACAGCTCAGTAACTAAGGTATAACACAAACCACCTCTGATACCACCAAGAATAATAATGATAAGGGAAATAACCAGGGAAGAGAATACAACTGCTTACCACATGCCGACCGATACCCAGCCTGACTGAGCAGTGATCTCGCCCTTCCGGGTAACTGCCCCCAGTTCTACATCCTAGGCATAATGTGCTGTGGTATGGAAATACCTCTTTGGCTAGTTTGGGTCAAATGTCCTGTTTCTGCTTCCTCCCACCTTCCCCTCCTCCCAGGCAGAGCATGAGACTCAAAGTCCTTGGTCAGAGTAAACATTCTGACCAGAAACTAAAAACATCGGTGTTATCAGCGCTGTTCCCAGGCTGAAAGTCAAAAACACAACACACACCAGCTGCTAAGAAGGAGAAAAATGACCCCTACTACTGAACCCAGGACAGAAAACTTAATGAAGTTTACCTTGGTGTAAGAGAGGATGTCAGACCTTCACTGATAACTTTGGAATCTTCTAAAGCCCTGTTTTGGTCTGGGCCTCTTTGTAAAACCTGCTGGAGGAACAGAATAGTCAGTTGGCAGGGACCTACAAGAATCATCTAGTCCAACTGCAAGAGTGAAGAGCTAAATGCCCCTGAGGATCTGGTGTTGTTTCCCATTCTCTGGAGTGAATGTTTTCTAACATTGGTGGATGAATCCCTGACATTGACTGCATGTTTAGGGAGAAGGAAAGCTACTGTGTCTGATGCCATTTTAACTGCTTTCCCAGAGGGGATGACTGCAGTTCACCAAGAAGGGAGTTTATTTCAGTTGTATTTAATAGTGATTCTTAGAGAGATAAATGTACAACAGACACAAAAATAACAATTATAAAATTAGTTAAAATAAATTTGTGACTTGTAGATACTTGTGCTGAAGACTATTATCAACTTTTAATGCAGTGACTGCTAAGGTCAGAATTTAACCCATAATTATTTATGATCTCTTAAGCACACAATGTTAAATAGAGGTAGAGGTTGTATAAACATATCCTCATACCTTTCATTTTATAATTTAGCATGAAATTTTTGGTGGGAATATTATTTTATTAATTAAATAATAGGCACTTTCACTTACTACATAAAGTAAGATGAAAAGGGGGAAAAGGAAAGATCTCAGGTGATTTGTGATCCCCAGAGGCAGAATGAAAGAGTATAAATATTGATAGAGAATTTTTATTGAATTGTTCAATTACTGTGAAAGATCAGATGGAGGATTGAATTTAGAATGGAGAATATTAAAAAAATTTTATTAATAGAAAATCGTCTGTTTCAAGCAGTAATTAAATAATATATTCCATGTATTAGAATGTAGTTTTCATTCTGTATGTAATCTCATTTTTTTCCTTGGTTTTGACTCTTTAATATGACATTTCTTCCTTTTCTGCTTAGCCAAACGTAGAGGTTTCGAATTCAACCTGTCATTCCAGCAAGGTTATGGAATCTACAAAATCTCCCATGAAAATCACCACCACCACCACAGTGGGGATGGTCAGTCTACATCCTGTCACAACCTGGTGAGTGATGACACCAATAACTCTAAAGAACCTGGGAGCAGAAGCACTGACCTCCACCACTGTGGGACAGAAGCATTCAGCATCCTGGCCCTGGCGGAATGCTCCCAGGATGTCCCACCAGGACCAGTGGCCAGGCAGGAGTCCAGCAAGGATTGGGGCACCAAACTCCTCCTTCCTGACAAGTGGGGAACCCTTGACAGAGAAGAGGGCAGAAATACTGAGCAGTCAGCTTTCTCTGAAGGACCAGAAAGGAGGCTGTCGCAGGAGGAAAACCGTAAACCTGAGCTCACAGATTGGGAATGGTGCAGGAGTAAATCAGAAAGGACCCCTCGGCAGGTAGAATACTTATTTGCCCTTGTTTTTTTCTGATAATAAGAATTACCTTAAAAAAAAAAAAAAAGAATATTTTTTGCTTACATTAAAATTATTATTAGTCCTATTGGAACTTTTAGTTACTTTTAGTAAAAATCATACTTAGCATTGTATATTTTAGTAACTGCACACCTATTTGCAGACACTGATCCTGCAATAATTTCTCACTTGCCATCTTAATCATGGGTATTTAATTATTATAATGACAATTTTGTGTGCAGCTGCATGATCTCTATATAGTAAGAATTCAGTATGACTTATGTTAATTTGTCTTAATGAATAGGAATTTTCTTTCAAAAACAATTACATTTTCAAGAGTATTTCCAAGCATCTGGGGACTTTTTTTGTCATGCTAACATTTTGGGTAGGGGAAAGAAGAGAACTGCAAAGCCCAGCATGAATGATAAGTCCCACAGAGAAGTGCAGATTTCAATCTGGGCACAAAGATTCCTTTTAGATTCAAGCAAAAATATCCCAAATATTATATCATTCATCCTTTTCCTTTAGATTGTGAATAGTTATTGGGAAGAAGAAATTCTGAGAAATTTCTCAGTTTTCAGAAGCTTTTCAGAAGGGAAAGGTGAAGGTGGAGCCTTAATACATTTGCGCTTCAGTTGAAAGACTTGGTAAAAGTGCCTGTAATCTCAGCTTGTGCAGTTCTTTGTGCAGAGGTTCTCTGTCTCCTCTCTCATATTTGCTGTACATTGTATTGAATCTAACAGAGCTTTCCGCAACTTGGGAGAAAGGGAATATCAAGAACTATAGAATTTAAGGACGTACCATCTAAAATTAATAGAGAGTGCTCCAGTCTTGCAATGTAACTCTAACCAAGAGGGGTGTCCTGCTGAATGTGCCACCATTGATACAAAAGTTGGGTTTTATTTTCAGTTATTGCAGGACTATGGCCTGTTCCTAGCGCAGAGTCTTCATTTACCTACTCCTTGCTGTACTGATAGTGGCACATCAGAAACAGCGGGATCACTGATTTCCTCAGCTTGGAGTCATTTTGGTTCTGCTATGAGAAACGTTGTTGTTACTGCCCATATGGGAGGGTCTGTACTGACTTCTGGCTAGAGCTGGGCTCACTATTAAAGGACAGTTATGAGAGAGAATTGCCTCAAACTGCTGTTTGTAGAATAGCAGAATGAAACTGGATCCAGCAAAAGGACAGCTATTATCTCATGTAAGAGCATAGGCTTAAAGAAGAACTGATGAGCTTTACTTTTGTTTTCTATAATGAGTTTTTGTTTAAGGGGAAAAAAGTCACAACAGTTACTGCAGGTTTAATGTTCTTAATGAATGGAGGGATTGTTAGCCATTCCTTGTCACCAGGCAATGAGTATGAGGGTTTTCTGTCTCGCACAAACTCATGGTTATGAACCAAAGGCTGAAAGCTGGCTTTAGGCACCGAGTGAGCCTGCAGTGTGATCTCTGTAGTGGAAATTGAAATGAGCAACAGCTATTGATCCCTGTGGAATGTATGTGCTGCTTTCATCATATAGTGGACTCTAAAAAGCATCTCAGAGTTGCCTAAGGAGTGAGGAGAGGTAATATACTGTATCATGCAGTTATTTGCTCCTTCTCTCTACACCTTTCCTGTGCTATGGCATTTACGCTCCAGTACATTATTTTGGTCTGTATAAATAGTGTATATAATGGTCTTCTGGCAACATAGATACATCCCTATTTTCAAGATAAATCAAGGTAGATCTTTATACATGTACGTGCATTTTTCATGTTTTCTAGGTGATATAGTCCCACATTCACATAGCTTCTGCAAATTGCCTCTAAGGCAATTAAAATATTAGTTCTGCCTGCTCACCTTTGGAAGTTTCCCTTGGTGGAATACAAAAGGAGTCAGTATTGGCTTTCAATTTGTTATGCATAAGCAATCAGGAAGTATATGCAAAAGGACTAAACCAAAGAATGCTGAAGTAGTTTAAAAATATTTTATTACTATTTGAGTAATAATAGTAATATTATTTGAAGTTGTCTTTTCATTTTATTTGATTAAATTTCAGGAGCTTTTGTAGTGCGTGACAAAACCACTGTTTTTCTTCTGCTGTATTTGCACAGTGGGAAGCTCATACATACTGGCCATAGGAAAAAGTGTATTTTTAGTTTTTCTCTAGGACTGTGACATTGAAAGAAACAAGAGTGTGTATCCCTCTTCTGAGAAATAAACACTTGGCTGAAAACTTAAATGCTCAGGAGGATGATTTTATATTTGGGGAGAGCTGTTTCCTGCATTGTATGGAAGCAGTTATTCTCCCACTGTCCTTCAGTGGACACACAGACTATGAAGTATCAGTTGCCTGTTAAAGGGGTTTCTCACCTGGAGGATTGTGTGCAGTTCTGGTGTCCTCAACATAAAAAGGACATGGAACTGTTGGAACAAGTCCAGAGGAGGGCCACGAGGATGATCAGGGGACTGGAGCACCTCCTGTATGAAGATAGGCTGAGAAAGTTGGGGCTGTTCAGCCTGGAGAAGAGAAGGCTGCGTGGAGACCTCATAGCAGCCTTCCAGTATCTGAAGGGGGGTTATAGGGATGCTGGGGAGGGACTCTTCATTAGGGACTGTATTGATAGGACAAGGGGTAATGGGTTAAAACTTAAACAGGGGAAGTTTAGATCAGATATAAGGAAGAAATTTTTTCCTGTTAGGGTGGTGAGGCACTGGAATGGGTTGCCCAAGGAGGTTGTGAATGCTCCATCCCTGGCAGTGTTCAAGGCCAGGTTGGATGAAGCCTTGGGTGGCATCGTTTAGTGTGAGGTGCCCCTGCCCATGGCAGGGGTGTTGGAACTAGATGATCTTTCCAACCCTAACGATTCCATGATTCTGCGATTCTAAGTGCCTCCACTAAAATAAGCAGAAGCCTCTTTAAATCTGAGAAACATGTTTCCAGGCAGCATAGTTGCATGTTTATGCCCTATTCAAGGGCAACAGAAGATGGTCAGTAATTTTCGTGGAAGGCTTAGTTTTTCCCAAGCTATTCTGTCAATGTTTAAAGAAGTTGAATTTTAAAGTCCAAATGGGAGAGAAGGACTTGACATTGCTCGGGTTATGAGAACCCTGCCTTCTGGAGCACGTTGGCTGGACTAGGTAAACCATCATGCATTTGTAGGATCTTCTATAGAACTATGGCTTCTGTTAATCTTTCCAAGGTGTCACTTCAGTGAACTCTTCAGTCAGCGCAATCTCCCCCTGTTCATTAGAATTCTGGTATCTGCTAATACCTAGAACTCCAGCCCTTCCTTTCTCTACAACCCTTAGCTGATGCGGGAGGCCAGAGATTGGAGCACGATGAAGTCACAAGCCAAAGCCATTCTGCCTGGCTAAGTGTTCACTGGGTTCTGAGGGTTTGAATGTGCACTGTAGAACTCAGGAGACACTTGGCATTGCAGTCAGTGGGAGTGGCATAAAAGCCTGTGTGAAGTCCACAAGAGAGGAGCTGCAGAAGGCCGTAGGTTGGAAAGCACCTCTGGAAGTCACCTCATTCAACTTCATTCAACTTCCTACTCCAAGCAGGGCTGACTTCACAGCTAGACCAACTTGTTCTCAACCTTTGGTACGTACATAGGGAGGAATCAGAAGATGTATTTTATATCTAAATAAGGGAATCCCCTCTCCCTCTGATAAATACAAGTTTATTCTTTGAGTCAAAGTAGGAATTTGTTTGATATTTCAAATTTAACTGATGATCCCTTTCATGAAAATCAGATGTTCACTCTGTTGCACTGTGTAGTGATGAATTACTGCATTTTTGGGGCAAAAGAAAATGACTCAACCTGGTTTTAGTCTACTATTTCGTGCTAACCCCTTGATGCCATGTATAGTCCATTTAATAAAGTCAGTATGTCACTAGCTTTGTCCTTGCAGTGGGTACTCTTGTGGCCATTTCCTTGTGGCTCTCCTTCCAGTAGTTTCTAGATGGCGTTTAAAAACAAACATAAAAAATTCCTTTTCCCAGCTCCTGTGGGAGATTTCAAATTCCTAGACCTGTGACTTCCATTACAGCAGGTACAAGCTTTTCTGTGAAGCAGCTGGTAAAGACTACATGTGGATGGCTTTATTTGTCACTCTGGGACATACTTCTCCACTGCTTGCACTACAAGGAATCCCAATTCATGCTTTTCTGACCTCTTCCAAGTTACAACCCAGTGTACAGTTGCCAGGCATTAAGACTGCTATGGTCTAAAAGTTCAAGGCTTCTGAGTTACAGATCTTACTGTTTCTGACATTCAGCATGAGTTTCCAGAGATTCAGAGTGTTGACATTTGCTTTGCTGATGAAAAAGAGCAGAATATGCAACCCCAGTAAGCATATTAAAAATAACTCTAATGCATTTCTCAAATTTATGTTGGATGAAAAGATAAATTTGGGCCAAACATTAAGTAAGTTGAAAGCTGTCCTATCTGTAATTTATCCTATCCTATCTGTAATTTATCCTAGCTGTAAGTCCCTTAAGTATCTAAGAAAAGTCACTTTCCCCTCATCACTCTCTATTTCTCCTTGGTTAAAATAGGAGTCTTTCCCTAGCATGTATTAGCTGTGTAATTCTGCTTAAATTGTCAAGTAAACTAGGCAACTGGGAGAAGGTACCAAACCTTAAAAAGAAATGGATTATTATCCTAACAGGATAAAATTTCCTCATCTTCAGTAATTTCAGACTATAAATGCTTGATCACAGAAATAAATATAGATGTTCTATTAGAGTACTTCCAGCTTTCTTTTCAACAGGCAGAACTGCTTGTAATAACTTGCAGTAGGAGGAAGAATACTGGCATTTGCACATGCATTTTCAGCTTAGCTGTTAAGTGATGTAGTAAATGTGTCCTTAAATGCTGAATTTCCACATAGTAAAGCAGTGCAAGTAGTGGTAGGATAGGAGATGACTAACGACTTTAGTAATGACTTTAAACTGACAGAGGGGAAATTTAGATTAGAATTTAGGAAGAAAGTC